ATGTATGCCTCTCTGTGGAAGCAGAGCTACAGAGTATAAGCTTGACATCTGAGGAAGAAAAAGTGTCTACTACAGCCAGAGGTCTGGAAAGGCCATAGTCCTACAAAGTCATGTTCCCTCCGGTTTATTATGTGGAAAACAATATTTTTTATATAGTCTTTAAATATATCTCTATATTGCTTATTATATGACTGCATCTCAAACTAGTTTACCATACAATAAAATGGTTACATAAAATATTAAAACTATATATTAAAACCACATTCACTTAAAAGATGGGAAAACAAGTAATACATCCAATATTACTACCTAAATATTATTAATGGAAAGCCTGGATAACATGGTAAGTTATTAGGTTTTGGTTTTGTTTTGTAATGGATGATAGCAGTGAGGCAGACCTTTATACTAAAAAGGCTTTACAAGTGTATACAAAATACTCTAGATCAGGGTGTCCAACCTTGGCAACTTTAAGAACTGTGGACTTCAACTCCCAAAATTCTCCAGCCAGACAATTCTCCAAGCTGGCTGGGGAATTCTGGGGGTTAGGTCCACAAATCTTAAAGTTGCGAAGGTTGGACACTAGAAATTCCCACTCTAAGGACAGTGGTTTACTATTTGTGTCACTTTGCTGTGCATTTCTAAGGGTTTGTTCTTTTTCTATATTATACTAACTCAATTATTTTAAGTGAGCCTAAACAATAACTTCTTCACTTCACCCCTCCTGTTCTCAATCCTCAATTACGGTATTTGTTGCTGGTGAACACTTTCTTAACTGTTATTACAACATATACAACTGTAGCTACCAGTGCTAGATACATTTTATCTCTCAGATTTTGGTTGTTTTTACTATCCCTCCTCCCTCTTTCCTCAGAGTCTTGCTTCTCCCAATTTCTTCCTTCAGGGATTTGAGTTGGCTGCTCATAATAGAATTATTTCTTCTTCCATTGATGAAATGTCACCTCTCAGCCTTGACAATGTGCCAACAGACCCTATGGGAATTTTCCTTTGGGTGAATGTAGGAATGTCTCCTGATGGCTGCCTGTTTCTTGCCCTGGGTCTTTATAGATTCCATGGTTACTTTTTTCTGCCCCTGGCAGCCATCACCACTCTGAACCCAGGATCTGTCAATCGACCAGATTCCATCTTCTCAGGATTCAACCTCTGTTTATTGGCTGAAATTGTCTCATTAGTGCAACCAGTCATTGGTTTCCAATAGGTAAATAGGATCCCCTGATCCAGATTCTACAGAGAAGCCCTAAAGCTCCTGATGATTGCTCCCAGGAGTTTTATATAGTTCTAAATTGGGCTGTATATAGATTAGTGCCTTGTGGCAATTGGAATCAGCAAGGTGAAGAGATCAGTTATCCATTGCTATTCTCTAAGATCACAGGCCCAAATAGGAGTACAATTCAAAACCCCATTCAAGGAAATGGTCAAGAATACTATTTATTATTTAAATTTATATACCGCCCTATCTCCTTTACGGGACTCAGGGCGGTGAACAGGCAATAATAAAAATCACAATAAATATTGAATAAAAAGCCTGCTCTAAAATACCCCATATATAGCAATCTTCCTCAAATTGATACCATCTTTTGTGTTGGACCCAAGCTCCTATTATTTCCTCCGACCCTTTGGCATGGGCTGTTTGCATAAGACAGTCAATTCATACCCAGGGGATGAAAGGGGCTCCAAACGAAACAAGACTCATCTCCCCAGTTTTAGATTTTACGAACTTCGAAGCAGCAAAACAAATCAGTTAAAATTGAATTCCCAGAGGTTTAATATTTTTGAGTTCCCACCAGCTCGATTGCCAGATATTGGTTTTAAGGTGCCAATTAAAACATGGAGGAAAATTATATTGACGTAAGAATCAATGTTATTTCCGTTGGAGTTTTTTTTTTTTTGCAGAGTCTTGAAAAAAGGCTCTCGGCTTGCTTGCAGATAAGCAGGCTAAGACTGCAGGTTGCAGCAAACCATCGCTCTTACAATGCAACCGGCCATCTTGCTCCTCATCGTTGCTCTCTAGATACCAAAGACAAAAAAGAGGCGAACGGGGAGTGTTGAGGTGCGGCTCCTGCACAGAGCAAAAAAAGAGCCACCGTGATTCACTCCGTCTCTACTCGAATAGACCGGCCGCTGAAAGCCCGCAGGTCGGAGCAGGAAAACGCCACGCCCTCAGCGAAGAAGGGGCGGGGTCGCGGCTTATTGGGCCGGAGCCGGAAACGTGACAGGCTGGCTGATGCCGCGCAAGGAGGCGGGCGATGTTTGCTCTGTTGCAGGTCGGTGCGTTTGTTTGTCTCGCGTTGTTAGTTAAAGGCTGTTAGCGGCGATCGCCGGCACAAATGCTTGTTTCTGCTCTTAAAACGCTTCTTGTCGGGGGGAAGGAATGCTGGCCTGGGCTCGTGCCCTGAGACTTTGAAAAGGCCCTGGTGCTGCGTGCCGGACTGAATTACAAAGAAACATCGTTAAAGATACATGGTTTCTCTGCAGGGGCAAGAAATTCACGAAAAATATCGGAGTGCTGCACACATTATAGCGGCGTCCGCTTCTGTAAGCAAAGAGTCTGCCCGCTAGTTCCCCGAGTCAAAATAAATGTGCTTAATTTTTGTGGTTCTTTCGCTAAGTTGTGGTCCGACTCTTTGCGATCCCATGGACTATAAAGCACATCAGCTCTCCCCCCCCCCTCCCGTTCTCCACTGTTTCCCGGCTTTTGCACAAATTCACGTTCATTGCGCTGATCTAGCCATCTCATGCTCTGCCCGACCCCTTTTCCTTTTGCCTTCAACCGGTCCCCAACATCAGGGTCTTTTCTAGTGAGTCCTCTCGTCTCATTAGGTGGCCAATATTTGAGCTTCAGCCTTAGTAGCTGTCTTTCCAAAAAAAACCACAGGGTTGATTTCCTTTAGGATTGATTGATGTCATCTCCTTGCAGTCCAAGGGACTTTTGAGAGTCTTCTCCAGCACCACCATTAGAAAGCAAAATGTGCTTAATGCAAGGTTGTGTTCACCTCCCCCCCCCCCACTTTACATTTCAGAGAACTGGGGAGGGTCATTTCAGAAATGCTTTCTCTTATCCCCATCCCTGCTTTGGATTCAGATTTCTCTTACTGTGTAACATATTGCTGTCTAGGCTATCTGTAGGTCTTCCTCCTGTCTCTGAAGGTTATTCTCACAGACATTACATTGTCTCATACCGCTTATCTGTGGCCTGTGGCCCATTAGTCCAATCTGAGCACCACACAATCTTATTTCTCAATATGATCTTTGAGAAGAAAAGGTTTTTTTCCCTACCTACTGTTTACATACACGAAGAGGTAAGCTTTGTTGAATTCAGTGAACAAATTGAACATATTCTGAGCTATATTAGTGGGTTTGTATTACAAGCCAAGAACAGACACAGCAGAAGGAATCAGCTTAATTCAGAATCAATCCAGACAATTGTTTGATTAAGCTGTTAAAAGATCTAAGGGCAACATGTTTTATAAATGTTTCAGATGGATTTTTCAGGGGAAATCCCCCCCCCCCAAAGATCTGTCTTCAGATTGCAGTGAATGGCTAAGGAGGAAATAAATATAAGTGGCTGCTATTAGATCTTTGTGTTATAGAAGAAGCCTATGCATTGATTGATTGATTGATTGATTGCATTTTGGTTCCACCATTATTCTACAGAACATTTTTCCAGAAGGAAAAGAGGAAGAAAAGAATGAAAGAGGGAGAAATTTACAGAGATCCTGCTGTTAGTTTCTTGTAATTTTTTTAAAGCTAAACAGTTCACACACTGACTTTTCGTGGAAGCAAATTCTTTCAAAAATATTAAATAGGCTTGTGCGTTTAACACCTATAAGTGGTTTGATAACCATGTAACAGACTTGTACATATTTAGTCAAAATTTGTTGAACAGGAATCGGTTGAATTTAGAAGAGTTTACTCTCAGGGAAGTGGGTATCAGATTACAGACTAACAGTGTTTCCATTTTAATATTGTTCTTAACTACATAGTTAAGTATAGGGATGTGGAACCTATGATCTTCCTGATGTGGCTTAAATAATAGTTGCCTCAACCAACATAATCAGTGATAAAAGATGCTAAGGGCTGAAGTCTGCCATGCTTCCCCATCCCTGCCACAGGCCTCATTGCCTAGTTGTGATTCAGCGGCCAGGAACATACTATTATACCTTCCTGTGCTCCCCCCCATATTTTTTTCACTCAGAAATTTCATCTTTCTTGAGAGCCTAGTGGCAAAGGCACTAAACTAAAAACCAGGAGACTGTGAGTTCTAGTCCCACCTCAGGCATGTAAGCTAGTTGGGTGACTTTGGATCACTTACTCTCTCTCAGCCCACACCAGGCAACAAGTCAGCCAATCAATTTCTGTTCCAAGCAATGGATCAACACTCCCCTCCCCCAAAAAGTGGACCCTGCACTTTCAGGAAAATGTTAGAAAGAAAAAATAATAATACATTTCCTCTGTCTTCACTGGGGGAAATAATTTCTTAGCTGTATTTCAGAAACAAGCTGCCCTATATCTAATCAGACCATGATTCTACCTTCTTCATTAATTGTTTCATGTTGATTTCCACCATTCCAGAAAGTTCTAGGAAAGATCACGTTTTGCTTCTACTTTATGCATTTCAGGAATGAAAAAAGCTGAAGAAAGTTTTGGAGGAGGGAGCCTGATTTTGGCCTGGGATTTAGGTTGAAAAACAAAGTCTTTACTTATTTACTTATATTTTGTAGATATTTTGTCTATCTAGCTATCATCTGTCTGTGTTAATAGATGCATATGGCTTCTATTTGCAATATCTCTTCTTATATTCTTAGGGACCCAAACTGTAAGTCTAAGCTCTTCCTCTTCCATCTTCCGTTGTCTGCAAAATGAAGAAAAGGAGAAAAAGTTTCCAAAAATGAAATTCGAAATTCTTCCTTTCTGTGGTCCTGTCTGACATTTCTATGTGGGACTAACTAAATACTAAAAATACTATCTCATTATTTTTAGGTGTATTGCTAGGATGTCCTCCTAAGTGTTGAGAAGCCTAAAAATGTTCTTCCAATCGGAGACTTTGCCTAGATGGGAATTGTATCTTTACTTATTTCTTTCTTTTGGCTCCCATTTTTATTCTTTCTATGAAGTCTTCCAAGCTTCTCAAGGTAAGTCTCAACTTCATGCCCATTATCTTTAGGTATTATTTTTTTCTTTTTGTATTTCCCAGTAAATTGAAATAAAAAATAGAAAATATGTAGCTGCTTTCCTACAGTCCCAAGCAGAGTGTTGCATTGAATCATTTTGCTTGTGTGCATGTTTTTTAGAATAGCGAGTAGATGTAAGATTCTTTGTAATTCATACAACAGCAAAGGAAAGCAACATAAAATAATCTGTATAAAAATAAATGGATTTGTGATTAATGTGTAGGCTAGCATATCTGGTGCCAAGATATCTTTTTTCATGCTTTGTTTCATTCAGTTGAATATGTGCCATCAAGTTGTCTTCATTCTTAGCAGCTATATATCCGGGAAAATGTCATCTATTGTGGTGCTCATTGGCAACAGTGAGGTGCAAAAATATGTGAGGTCCTGGAAGCCAATTTACATAATGAATCTAGAACTTATGTATTAACTTTCTCTAAAAAGACTAAAAATTGAAAACTTTTTAAAATATTGCTTGTGCAGTAACTTCTACTTGCTATATAGTACATTTCCCCCAAATTGAGTTTTAACTCTCCAGCTAACATGCCTGTTTCTGAAACTTCCAGAAATTGGTTCACATTGGAGATCACCCACTTTGAAAAGGTTTAGATAACATAAGAAGTATCTGCCATGGCATCATATAATTCACAATATACCTAGCTATTTCAATAACATCTGCACTACTGGAAGATCCTCTTTGCATAACCTGTGATAGGTTTGAATAGCTGCATGCTGTAAATTTTACTTTTACCCAGAGCCCTTTTCCTGGAATGGAAGAGACCCAGAGATCATATTTCAAAACAGATTTGTTGAAAATGCTATGTAATTTTCTGCCAATTTTCAGTGAAAAATCAAGAAAAGTGTGCTTGGATTGGCTCAATGCACCTAAAACACTTGTTCCCTCAGTTGAGAAAATAGAAAGAAGTAGAAAATTCTTTCTCCAGACAGCGGTCACTATGCCAGGGGTTTCAAGCTTGGCAACTTTAAGACTTGTGGACTTCATCTCCCAGAATTCCTCAGCCAGTTGTCTGAGGAATTCTGGGAGATAAAGTCCACAAGTCTTAAAGTTGCCAAGTTTGGAGACCCCTGCACTATGCTACTGCCCTGTGCCTTAAGGCTCTTGGTTGCTATAGAACAGGGGTGTCAAACTCAATTTCATTGAGGGCCGCATCAGCATTGCGGTTGCCCTTGGGGGGCTGGGTGGATGTGGCCAGGGTGGGTGCGGCCTACTGGGTGGGCGTGGATGGAGTGGGTGTGGCCTACTTGGTGGCTGTGGCCAGCTCTATATCATTTGTATCAAGGGTGCCTGTGGGGGCCTGGGCAGGACTGGACAGATCTGAGGGTCTCTGGCAGAAGGGGGGTGGAACCAGGGCAAGTGCCAAGGCATGGTCCACTGGAGGAGCCGCACTGTTCCTCTCAGGCCATGCAGGGGGGGGCTGGATGGTGGTACGGGCTGCCCAGAGCCCTGGGCAGCAGAGATCAAAAACGCCCAGCCTGCAGCACCAAGCCCAGCCCCACTTCCCCAAGGGGGCGCGCAGCTGCACTTACCTCCTCCTCAAGGCTGCTGTGGCTGTGCTTGCTCTCCTTAGCCAGATTGCTCATGATGGGTACGAGGGCAAAGTCAGAGGGAGGCCCATTCCCTCTCCATGGGAGGGCCCAGGCAGCGGGGGCCGTTCCCTCACTGTTTCCGGGATGGCTTCACGGGCCACATGAAACCACTTTGTAGGCCGCATCCGGCCCCCGGGCCTTGTGTTTGACATGTCTGCTATAGAACAAGATAAAAATTTGCATCCTTCTGATTAAGCACATATATTGTCACTTACCAATTCAATAACATGAGATATGCCAATTCTTTAATCTATATGTTTAATTTTCGCCTCTTTTGGGTGGCTTTTTTAGAGTTGGAATTAAGTGACTCAATGTGCCTGGAATAATCTTAGTTGTATTTGATATGTACACAAATAAATGTTATATGTATCTGATATATTATTGCTTAGGGTTTGGGCTGGTTACTCCAATCCACCTCACAAAATTGTGATAGTAGGGAAAATAGAAGGAGGGAGTGTTATGTATGCCACCCTGAAAAAAGCTATGGTAGTATCCAATAAATAGAATTGCTACTGTAAAGTAGTTCCTGCTATTCTTTATTTTTTCCACTAGGAGGAGATAGCATAACAGTTTTTAGAATGTTGAAATAATAACTAATGTATCCAAGTAATAAGGTGGTTTATATAAACAATTATCATTAGGATGTTAGATGTTTTAACCTCTAACATTTCAAATTATTTTGGTCTCCAGTTTTTGAACTGACACTCTATCTTTATGTATAGAAAACAAAATAAAGGCACTGATAAGAATATCCTTCATTATTTCAATATCCTTGTTTTTCAACTGAGAACTCAGTCATCACAAGAAATGTATAATTTGTGGGAACAGATTGAATCTAAGCCTGGTTTTGAGTAATCTGAAACTCCACATAAGTGTTCAACAATAATATTTTAGCATAAAGGATTCTATTATTGCTGCTGTTTTGAAAATGATCAGGTGTGGGCTTTGATAATAACAATGCAATTTTGTTCCATGATAGTTCATAATGTCAAATGGAAAGCTGAGCTTTCCAGAAGCTCAGTTCAAGAATGTTTGTACTAAATGGACAGTATAAGTAGCTTCTTGAAAAATATGCTTAGAAGACAGTAGAAAATACTAAAATAAACAGTCAATATGTGTAATAGTAGGATTTTGTCTCAGCAGCACAATGGAAAGGTGTTAAAATGGAAGAGACAAAATAGAATGAGAAGAGGCTAGTAATACAGAGCATTAACAGAACATGTTTCAGCAGAACATCTATGTGTTATTTGGATCAAAATACTAACTGTAATAGGAAACTTGAGTATCCCCTTGAAATATAGCACATTTGGAGAATGGTTTAATTTAGCAGATAGACATTAGTTGTTTCTTTCCTCGGCTTATTTAGGGTTGATGGTATCCATGAAATGTCATAAATGCCTATCTTTATGATTCATCAGATATTTATGCTCATTTTTCCCCACTGTTCTGTTTGTGAGGGCATTGCCTTCAAAACAAATCCTTCTGTATAACCTGTATGAGCATATCTGAGGTAGCAACAGAAACTATACAGAGAGGTTTTCAAAAAACATTTGTCCCAGTACTGCAGATTAGAAATATTAGATTTGACAGGAGAAAAATGATTTGGAAGATGGGTGGTGCCTGTGTACTATCTCTTGGCACTCATTAATCAAATGAGACTGCAGCTCTATAGACCTAGTGCAAAATCCAAATTTCTAGATTAGATACTAGGATGGGCACTCTTTAGTGTAATTATTTACATCCTGAGATAGACACAAGGAAGCATACTTAGTTTTGGGGGAGTTTTTTTCGTTCAAGCTTTATAGAGATCAGCCAACATCTACACACAGTTTAGAAAATTATCAGCAGTTTTGATGGAATTTGAAGGAAAGTCATCTCCCTCTCTGTCATACTGAATAAAAAAATTGATAGGTCAGTGTTTTGTAAGATGAAATGATCTTTTAGTCTTTATTTGACTTTATGTGCTTCTATCCCGCTCATTTTCCTGATGATGATTTAGTTCACTTAACACCCTGCTTGCAATTTTCTGTTAGGAATGGCTACCAGAGAAATGTACAATTAACAATTAAAGTCAGACAAAGAGACATGTAATTAGAGACACTGATGCCTAGTGATTGGTAATACGAACTTGATTTTCAGCTCTCTTCTCTGCTGGGTA